TGTGATTTAGGTTGATACACATTTCCCATTGTTATGGCAGAAAATTGTGTCCTCTTCCATTTCATCTTTTATGTATGATCTTTTAATATTATTATTATTATTACTATTCTCGTTATGGCCTATAGATATATGTATTGGGTTTTTATCCTTAACCTTTCCTCTCCTATACTCCTTATGTTAGTATGTTCACTTTACTAGGGTTTAGGTCAGAGCTGTGACATCGTTTGGGTGTTTTCCCCCTCTTGTTGTTCCTCTCCTCTCCTAAATAAATAAATTCTTCAAAGACAACACTTGTTTGTAACTCAATTATTTGCTCAACCCCTCACCAGGAATATAATTTCCACGACACCCATTATAGTTATATTTATTATCAGAAGCTCATGAGCAAGACATTTTTTGCATTACCAGCTGTGCCATGTGAGTTACATAATTTATTTACTCTCACAGACCATGTGTAACTGTAAAAAGATCACTTGGTTGGTGGATTTGTCCCAGCTGTATGTTTTCAGAAACCACTTTGAAATCCATCCACACTTTGACAAATGAGAATGTTTTGCCCAAAATAAGAAATGTGTGATGTAATAATCCTAAATATTTCCAAATGAAAGCCAAGACATCACAAGGCCCTGTTTCATCATGAAAACGACTGCAGCCTGTTAAAGAAGCTCATCGTACACAGTAGTCAAGACGTTTTACAAGTGTTACCCCTCAAATATGCGCTGTTTTTATCTGTATCTTCAGAACATCTGAACAGGGCACTCCTGCAAATCTCCAAAATACAGCACAGTTAGTCATTATCAGTCAAGTTGCTCCATGTGCAGAGGCTATGAAATCAAAATGTAGTCTAGAGTTGGTAACAAGCTCTGGGTTTTGTGTGACTGTAGGAGTGACGTAGCTATGTGTGAATACTTCCACTGGTCTGTGTGAAAGTGACTTCACTGGCTGTGCTATCAGATGAAATGCTCCATCTGTCTTTTTCAGCAGTCTTGGCAAGTAGCCATCTCTGATTCACAAAATACATCTATCGGTCATCTGCCAACAAAGAGAGCCGCTCGGTCACAGCTACACAAGGCGCATTCAGAGTATTCTGCCAACAGATTTTAAATGAAGAGCCATTTTTGTCAGAAATGATAAATTCAGTGGATTTTACCCTTTAGAAACGAAAGATGTTCTCTCAGTTGTTTTTTCACCATATACCTCCATTGATATGATGCAACTATAATTTGAGGATAAGCATTGGTGCCTGCTGAAGGTATTTTAACAAGTTAGAAATACTAAAATAATTAGTAAGGTGAATTGCATTTTTTTACAAAAACGTTGTCTCATCATGTTTTATCTATCATGTTCACTTTATTTATCCTATTATTTTACACTTTATTTGTCACATTACAATATAGCTACTGCTGATTGATTGAAAGAAGGACTTGTTGGAGCTGGCGGTGTGCAGCATGATAATAAGGCTCAGTTGACAGGTTTCAGCAGTATAACTCATAGACAAATATCAACATAACATATATTACATATCTGAATATCATGTTCCGATTACTTTAGTTAGTTTGGTTTAACATCAGCATGCTGAAAAGAAATCGTTTCTCAATCTCTTGGCCTAAGACCAAGTGCACATGTGCATTACATCACGCATTTACTGTCAGATTGCTGGGTATAAATCATGTTAGAGATGCACGTATTTTTAATATGAGTGGTGAACAAACCGTTTGAATGCGATGTTTATTTCTGTGAGCTGAAGAGAGTTTTGCACAGTATGTTATATAACAGCATTTAGTCCAGTTTATGATTGTTTCAAGCTTATCTTGTAGTCAAGATGGTCTGAATTAATGTCAGACTAACTCTCTACAATGATTACCTTCATGCCACATAGTATTTCTATACGAGTATGCACTCTATAAATAGTGTGTGAAAGTGTTTCCTTGCTGTCGCTTTAGAAGAAACACAGACACAGACTCACACAGTAGGCTTATAGTAATATTCTCAGTGCAGATAAGCTCCTCACATCAAATGAACTGGCACTAGAGGGCACTGCATCAGACAGCAGCTCTCTAACCCTCTTACTCTAGTTTGGAAGGGAATATAAAGAGACTTTGCCTTTTTGAGCCGGAGCAGCTTTTCATGGAAATGTCTTGACCAGTCTTGTGATGTTCACCACAGAAACACTCCACTCACATCTACAGTATGTTAACATCATCACCAGAGATGAACCCATGTATACACACACACACACACACATATATAAATGTAAAGATATGCATGCATTCTCTGCACACATGCATCACCCTATCAGCATTTACACAGCTGAATTGACCGTATGACATGATGTTGTTAATTGTTAATAACTGGGGCTACTGTTTATTCTAGGTATTATTTTAAGGGGGCAGCATCTTGCTAACTTTAGACTAAAGTAAATTTCATATCGATGAAAAGACAAAAGACATGAAAATTATGATTACATAAGTCAAGAAGATTACATAACATTATTGACTTAGATGAAGAAGTTTTAAAATGTTGCAGTTCCATTTTAATAAGATCTTATGTACTCCAAAGGCCAGACTTTGGTGTGTCATGTAGTTGTAAAATCAATTTCTTGAACGTTGTTATGTAGAATTCATAAAAACACCCCTCTTCCTATTCTATAGACATGATTTATACCTGTAACAAATATGAATGAAAATGTTTTTTTAAACACTACAGGGCTATTTTGTAATTAACAAATCACAAGATCCACCTGTATGGAGGCTTTTTGTCTGTGTAGGAGCAACAATAACTGTGAGAAAAGCGTCAGACATTTGCAGATTTCAGCTTTAATTAATTAAGAAATCGGTGTAGTGGCAGTCAAATGTCACATGAAATCTTATGATCTTCACTTTATACCAGTGTTCGAAACATGCAGTCCTCTGAATTAAACAGCAAGGTCTAAATAGTCCTGTTTCACAAGAGGGACCTGTTTAGACAAGGTGTCATCTATAGTGTACTGTACTTTATGAAAAGGTCTATAAATATCTTCAAGCAGGTGGCTAAAACCTGTGCGTCCCATCTGCTCTCTAACCCTCAGAAACAGTAGAGCATGCAACAGTTTGAGTTTGTGTGTGCGCCAATACATGTGCGCTTTTATGTGTGTGTTTATCTTATTTTGACCTCTATTGTTGCCACCTTACTGTCTTTTGAAATGTGTTGAATGAAGTCATCAGAAACAAAGACCCTTTAACCCTTATGCAACATAGACTGCTAATAATAACCACCCTTACAATAACCCTTATGAGATAGCAGGTGTGTGTGTGTGTGTGTGTGTATGCGCCCGAACATGTGTGTGTGTGTGTGTGTGTGTGTGTGTGTGTGTAAGCATGTGTGAGACACTCCTCTCCCAATGGAGCAGGATTAGATGTAAGAGGCTTATTGTGTTTTACCATCACATGGACCGACTGGTTGGGAAACACACACATATACATACACACACACACACACACACAGTGCCAGGGTGGCCAAATCTGTCACCCTGCTCAGGGTACTTCTCCCAGTGGGCTTGTGTTCATTCAGTCAGCAAGGCTGTAGTGAGGAGGTGCGCGCGCTATGTGTTGTTATGTCTTGTGTTGCTAAATCTGTTCCATGGTGAATATAGAACTTGTTTGCTTATCAAGATTAAAGATTTACTACTTTATTGTGATTTCAATCTCCAACAAGTCCTCAAAATTAAATGAGAGAAATTGTTTGGAATTTGCTTTGATGAACTTCCATAAAACAATACAGAAACCCCACGACTTAACATAACTACACCAGAGACTTAAAACATGTGGTAAAATTTTTTTACCAAAGTCAAACACTAGATAAAAATTAAATAAAACAAGTTTTAATGGAGGGATGTGACCACCATAAAACAAATGATGTGCAGAACATTGTACTATATATAGGAGCCGCGTACAAAACAGCTTTTCACAACCAGGTATTGACTTGTGATGTGTAAAAAATAAAGCACCTTCATGAAATTTTAAATATATTGTAATACATAAATAAAAACAATCCAGGTTCAGTGTCAGCAGACGATGTAATTCTTCTTTTTTCTGCAAACAGGCAGCTGACTAACCAGCAAATTAATTAATTAATTAATTAATTAATATTTCATGAGGTGATTTGTAGTTGAAACATTTCAGGCTTGCTCTTTCTTTTAAGGAGGAAGGACAACAGAGAGAGAAACTTTACACTGCCTCACGTGTTATCTCACCGTGTGCACAAGTGTATGCACACGGTGAGATCATGTAAACAGCGGTATTTCTGTACTTCCTGGATGAGGAATCTCCCCTCTGTAGCTCTTCCTGAGAATTTCTTCATTTGCTTCCTGCTGAAGTTTTTCTGTGGTTAAGAAGTTCATATGCTGAACGGATCGTAAAGCAAATGTGTGACTTTTAATTTTGGGCTATATAAATAAACCTGACTTGACTTGCCACTGAAATGCATGTGCTAAGTAATTGTGTGTTGGATATTTCAGAGATGTAATTCACACACATAAATTGGCTCCACAACACAAAACTCTCTTTTTATCATCTTTGTGTCGCCCTCCCCTCGAATGAGCTACTCTAGCTCAGACCTGAACTACTCTCTAAGCTTTTATCAGTGCGTTCAAGGTATTCAGAGGGGATGGGCCTTATTGTTGGTGTCATACCTTGGCACAGAGAAAGATCTGATGTGTGAAAAAATAGCATCCTTGGCCTTATTGTGAGGTTACTATGGTGAGCAGACAAAAATAAGGTCAGGAGAATGCATTCAGCACAGAGCAGGCTTGAATGAATGTAAATTAGGATCCGTTCAGATCTGCCCTTAACAACGGATATTACTGTATGTTGGCAGAGAACTGCAGAAGTGACAGTTCTTCATTAATTAACAGCTTGCTGCCTGACATGAAAGGTTTGCTTCATTCACAGTGGTATCACGAAAGAGAGAAGAAAGAGAGTGTATGAAAATACAGCCTAAAGGGCCTTTTCTCTCATTTTCAGATTATCTTTGTTCTCCGGAAGAAAATGTCCACATGATCGACTTCACCAGGTTCAAGATCCGTGACATGGAAACAGGGACAGTCCTGTTTGAGATCACTAAACCTCCAATGCCAGGTCAGCTCCAAACATTAGAAACTAGATAACAGATTATAAGAGAGAGACACACATTTTTATAACAGATTGTGAGTCAAAGTTGACGTTCTTGCAAGTCATTTGTTTTTTATGTCACTGTTCATAATGTCTTTTAAAGGGTATTTCACTTGTTAAATATTACTCTATGATATTTTTCTTGTCACCATACACTGCAGATGATAAGCAAGTATAGATAATATGTATAGTGAGCTGTAGTTCCTACACAAAAGCATTTGTTAAAATAAAACTGAGGACAGTATTAAACTAAAAAAAGCTATTTTTTTTCACCTCTTCCTTTTCTATTAAATGTCTATTCTTTAGCAGGTGACAAAAAGCACTGTGACCCCAACGCTGGGCGTTTTGTCCGATACCAGTTCACCCCAGCCTTCCTGCAGTTGCGGCAGGTTGGAGCCACGTGAGTTAACCTTCAGTGTTTATTTGTTCCTTCCAAATGACTAATGAAGACTGAGAGAGAGAAAGAGAGAGAGAGAGAGAGAGAGAGAGAGAGAGAGAGAGGGACATGTGTCCAAAAGCCGAATGATGCAGTAATGTCCGTTCAACCCTGCCGCACCGACAGAAGACACATACCGGATGTAGGCGGTGTGTGTGGGCTTCAGTGTGGGACGACAGGCTTACGATGATAAGTGTGAACATACAGAGCAGCCCAGCCCACCTGCTGAGTCAGGCTCCAAATAGCTGTCAGTCCTCCTGAGTGGTGTTCATCATCAGACTCCTACTCTGTGTCTGATTTCAATCCAGCCCGACGACTGACTCATCTAGATAATCAAGGCTTAATGAAAAGGCTGTGTGTATATTAATGCGTTTTGTGCACCATATAATGGTAGAGCTTTTACGTTTTTATTTAGCAAAGCACCCGGGGAAAAGACATGTGTTGATTGTTGTTCAGGAAGACCAATTTAAAGGCTAACTCTGTTTATTTAACAGCTTGGGTTTTTTATAGTTTTGGCAATCATTCTTAGCCGTATTAACGACATTGTAGGCTCTCCAAATTTTCCACTTTGGCGACCACTGCCACGGTCTGAGCAGCGGACTTTTTATGTTCGTCCAACGTAGAAGAAAAGCAGAGCAGAGTCTGTGGAAGCTTTTGATTAAAAAGTTGGGTTCGCCCCGACCAAACATCAGTCTGGACAGGAAGTAGAGAAGTGTGAGACCACACAAAATAACTTTGAAGACGCAGATTTCCGCTGGATAACTGAGAAAATATTATGTTTTGACTGTACACCTAAGGTTTGCAAAGGGGCAATTTGTGACCAAATCACATAGTAACAAGGACTTAGATCACAAATGGGCATAAACTACTGTAATTTATCACTGTAGAGCGGTCATCAGCTAATCAGAAGGTCGGTGGTTCGGTCCCAGGCTCCTCCACTCTGCATGCCAAAGTATCCTTGGGCATAGCCAGCAGTGTGTGACTGTGTATGAATGTGTTAATTTCTGTTTCTGTGTCTGACTGTGTGTGAATGGGCTGAATGCGATGTAGTGTAAAAGCGCTTTGAGTGGTCGGTAAAACTAGAAAGGCTCTGTACAAGAACAGAGTATTTACTATGTAGTTGTGTGCCCTAACAGTTCTCCTGTGCAATGATTATCATATAATATGTAGTGCATTTGGATACTTTCTGTTCTGCATTTACATTACATTTATTTTAACTAATTTATCTGACACTTTTATCCTAAGCAACTTACAATTGATATATGTGTCAGAGGTCACCCACTTCTGGAGCAATTAGGGTTAAGCATCTTGCTCAGGGACACAGTGAATTCACAGTGGGGATTTGAACCCGGTCTCTCACACCAAAAGCATTTGACTTATCCACTGTTTCAACACTACCCATTTCCTCATTAAGAGTTTAGATAATCTTGATCAACCTGATCGGTTGACTGCTCGTTTTTCTTACCCTGATGGACTTGTTGTAAAGATGTTCCCATATGTCAGCAATTATTTTGGTAAGTAGCAATGTGGCAACATTATCACATCCTTTAGAAGTGATGGCCAAAGCTAGGAAGACAAGGCCCTAGTTAAAAAAAACCTGTAGGGGTTACCTGACCTTTGCACACTCCCAAAAGTTTGTATTTTTATTTGTTTCTAGGCTGATAAACCATGTTTTCTCCCCGTGTCTCTGCAGAGTGGAGTTCACAGTGGGAGACACACCCATCAACAACTTCCGCATGATTGAGAGACACTACTTCCGTGATCAGCTGCTCAAGAGCTTTGATTTCGAATTCGGCTTCTGCATGCCCAGCAGCAAGAACACTTGCGAGCATATCTACGAGTTCCCCGCACTGTCCGAGGAAATCAGTGAGTGTCACAATACTGAAACCCGCGCACACGTAACCACAAGAGACAAATACACCCACACAGAAATGTTTTTATTAGATCAAACAGGACTTAATGACGCAAAAACCAGAGTGCTGTGTGTCTCTTTTCTCTCTCAGTGCGTGAGATGATCCTGCACCCGTATGAGACGCAGTCTGACAGCTTCTACTTTGTGGACAACAAGCTGGTGATGCACAACAAGGCAGACTATTCCTACAGTGGGGGACCATAGGAACACCACCCTCAACTTCACTCCTCCCTGTTCTAGACATTTTACATGATCCACATACCACGTCAGGACCAGAAACAGATGAACTGATGGACAATTTGCTGGCATTAAACATTCTTGTCTCCCTCCTGTTAACTCCTTGAATTTCAGATATTCAGCTGCCAATAGACCAATAGATTTCTCTCTTTGCAGGAACATCGAATTCTGACAGTTTGATCATCAGTTTGCATCAGTGCGTGTGTGTGTGTGTGTGTGTGCGTGTGTGGGTGTGTGTGTGTGCGTGTGTGTGTGTGTGTGTGTGGGCAGCAAACACATGCAGTGTCTGTACATACTGTTGATTTCACCCTGTATATGTGGGTTCCTCTTGATCGTCAGGAAAACATTGATTCATTTACATTTTGTGTGTTTTGATAGCTATTAACATGAAGAGGAAAAGGAGACAGTGAGTTTTGTTTGTCTTCACTTGTACATATAATGTACAAGTCCATTTACCATTAAACCAGATGAGACAGAAACACACCATGAGGCAAAGAGAAAAATGAAGTTATTCCAAAAAAAATAAATAAATTATCCATCCAGATGCAAATTAACAATGTTTGTATAGGAATCTCATTACATTTTAACTCCTAAAGTTAAATTTCTAGTAGCACATATCTGAATGATCAAGCCCTCATCCCATTATCTTGGTCTGTCGTCATTCATTTGAATGACAAAAAGAAATGTGTACTTTGTCTATGTAAATGTGTCATTTGTTGTATGTTTTCATGTCCATAGTACTACTACTTCAGGAGTATTTTTTAAATAAATAGCCATTTTGAAGTGTCAGAAAACCTACGTTAGCTAAAAAGTCAGATACCAATTTTGATATCCAGTACAGTTCTCTGTAGTACTGAACACTGTGTATACTTCAATTATGATAAATGTTTTAAGTATAAAAAGAAAACGTATGTAAAGTTTTGACAGCGGAAATTCCATCACTGCAATAAAAATGGGATTTTTTTTTTTTGAAATCTTGCTATCCATCGGGTTTTCTTTTTCACAAAAAGAACACTGAACAAAGAAAGTAAACAGTGTGGTAAAATCATGTTCAAGCTAAGATCAAAAATTCAGTTCAGGTAACATTAAGGAAAACACACGTTTGAGATTTGTTTAAAAGGTACACTCTTTAATCAGTTCACACATTTTTTTTAAGTATCATAATACTTATACATAAACAGTTGTTGAAACTCAGTAACCCAAAGTGCTAAAATAATACCTGTTATAAAAAGTAAAATTGGTCTGTATTGTATTTTTTCTCATGTTTGTCAAAGTGCTAAAACACAAACAGAAAGTAAAAGATGTGATAGTCACATCAGAAGGTAATAAGCTGCAGCTCACAAAGTGTCTTTGCTGCCATCTTCTGTGACAACAGTCTCACTGCACAGTTGCAATGACAGCGCCTGTCATCATCCATCAGGCAAGCATAGCTATTAGACATCAGTGTAAACAAAACTTTTCTTACACTGTGAAATATATAACACATTTTCTCACAGGTTTGTATGTTTTACTAATTGTTGGGCTATTTGGCAAACTTAGCCAGCAGGTACAAGTTGTGAAGACAACAATGACATATCATCCCATTTTAATTTGATTAAACAGTAAACAGTTGCTTACACACAAAGCCAACAGTTAAGGAGCAACATTACCATTCATATGGAGCCATGTTTCTGGCCACTTGATGAACTTGATGAATCTAATCAAAGACTGACTGTGTGATGACTAAAGCAGCCTTTCTGTTAGTTAGTCACAACCACCTAAACGGGCTCCCTTTAGATCCACATGGGGAAAATACATAGTTATCAAAACAATAAAAGGGAGAATTTAATCAGTTCACATACCACGGCATGACAATCCTGTACATTTGTTCCAGGTTGCACCTAGTACATGGAATGGTGCTTATGCAGCGGACATCCTCTAACAATTTATGTGTGTTTTTAAAACTAAATATGGAGGGACTGAAAACGTGGGACTAGATACATTGTTACTGAGTATGAAAATTGATTTACAAATGACAACAATTTGTATTGTTTTAGAATGACTTAAAAATAAAAAATGGATCAATTAATATCACAGTAATGAGAAATTTGAAAATCAATTTGAGAATACAGTTGGCAAAAGGCAAATCAATAGATTACATTTACAAATACATTTACAAATACTCTATTGTTACATTTACAAATATATGCAACAATAGATATTACAATGAGAAATGTAATTACAATTTTAATTTATCAAGTGTTTTCCTATTCACTTTTCCAATTATCAAACCTTTTGGTATTTATAAATGTAATAAGTAGTAATAAAAAAAATTGTGGGGAAAGAAATATGTACTGAAACAAACAAAACAATATAACAAGAGCTGAACTTGTTCGTGACAGTGGATTCAAACTGTGAATAACTTTATAACTAGTTCCTCCACAGACGTTGTCACACAGTGGTAAACAAAGAATTTGATGGGTTAAACAACCACCAAGCTAATACTGTGGGATGAAGCTGCCTGCAACAACATACATCATTCCGGGTGATGTGGTACACAGATGGTCAGGAAGTGTGAAAGAGCCCAAACAGTCAGGTCTTTACATTAAGGAGATGGATGTGGTACAGGAGCTCAGATACCCAGCCAGACTCTCCACCCCCGAATAAACCACAGGATGCAGTCCATTCAAACAGCCATGCTGCTCTAAGCTTCGTCCGGTGCTTGTGTTTTCGTCCTCACACTCTGCTTTTTGTCGACCGACAGCCATCACCTCTGGTGTCTGACTGACAGGAGGCGAGACCTGCAGGCAGCTGTTCAGGACGTGGTGGTCCTGCAGGGCACACGTAGTGGACCGGGTTGTGGTAGTGACTTGTGAATCAGATACCATGCTGTCTTTCCTTAACTCCTCCCACAAGTTACCTGAGACAAATGAAGAAATATCTGGTGTATTTTGGGTGAGCATCAACAGTCACTGTTCAGCACTAAACAATAATGCTTGCTGCGATCACACAGAAATTCAGCTGCCAATCATTTCACTGAAGAAGGGGAGGAGACATGCTGGCCAAAGACAAACTGTCATGACACCATTGTTAATGTTATTACTCACACCTGTGCCTTTCCCACTATGATAAGCCAAAATGTCCGCTGTGAAAAGGATGTATTAGAGAATAAAGAAATTAAAGTGACTGAATCAAACAAACATGCATAATTTATGAATAAGGGAACACTAAAGTCAGATGGTCCAAGTAGCTTACAGCAACCCTGGTCACATCACTATGTCCTGTCCTGCCTGCTTCACCACAGGTTGTATGTGAAGGCCAACATGCATGTTCAGCTTGCCAAAAGACCCTTTTCACTGCAGACATTCTTACCTGCCACCACCTGGCATAATTCATAGCATTAGTAATAGCTAGTTGTTACCGCTAACGTTGGACACGAAAATGACACAGAGCCAATAGTTGCATCTGTGCTTTTGCTTCTTGAACATGAAAATGAAAAGGTTTAGACAATCCAAACCAAACAATATGCAGTCACATTTTGACCCCCTTGCAAAATGAGGTAAGCAACTACTAGCATGCTCCATTATGGGCTGAAAGAGCAAGCAAGACTCCAATGTGACTGTCATATGAACTCTTTACATGCATGTGTCATCTCTTCCTGTGTCCCAGATGAATGTGAACCAGGATGTTAGTCCCTGATGCAGCACTTTGTAGTCTAAAAAACAGTCCAAATCCAAAATTTTATTCCTCAATCCCAGAAAAGCAAGAAAAGTAGTGCCTCTATTGGCTGAATACATAGGACAGAGTTTGAACTTAAACTTGAAATGTTCTTTGTTTGCAGAGGTTTTAATGCAAGTGAATGAAAGGCAAAGTGAGTTAGTACCCACCCGAAAAAAGCTTGACATTAGTTGCCCAGATTTGAGAGAGGGAAAAATTCTGATCAGTCAGAATTCATTTTTTAATTTAAAAAAATCTAAACAATTTAGAGTCAATTTGGTTATTAAAGGATTGCCACCAACATTGTGTACTAAGCAGGACATTTTACACTTGTCAGTGCTCCCTGGTGGACAAACTATGTAAGTGAGACACTTTTTCTAAATCACCTTAAACTAATCTTTCGTAATTCTACTGACACACAAATACCAAACTATCTTGTATCCATCATATTGTCCCAATGTGACTCTCCTACCTTGCAGCTGCAGGTCAATCAGACTGGGGTTGAGCGCATCGATGTCGTAACTGGCGTCTCCTTCCAACAAAAAGTCCTGTATGCTCTTGTGGCCGATACTGTAGTCGGCCTGCAGGGCAGCACTGTAAACAGGTGGCATCGTAGCAGCCAAGGGTGAGTTCAGGCTTCCAGTAACTGTTGGCTGTCCACAGGGTGAGTATAAGGCAAAGGAGTTGCTGGGGTGAGCTGCAGCGGTGGGTGGAAGGTAGGAAGGCTGCTGAGTTTGCATATTTGCATACTGTGAGTGCCGAATAGGTGGGCAGGGTGTTTGAAGCTGTGCTTGGGTGCAGGATGATGAGGTTGTGCTGTAGATAGTGGCAACTCTTGATATCAACGCTGGGTTGGTGTAAGGTGGCAAAGGCCTGAGCTTGCCCGGCCTCTCTCCCAATAGACGATCAAGGTCTTCTGTTGAAAAAGTGTGTATCAAAATAAAGTCCTAAAATGGCCATACAATTTTGATACATTTAAAGTACAAGTCAGATGAGCAAAAAATTATTAAAAGGTCAAATGTCTGTACAGTACAATTTTGATCCTTTAACCTTTTATTGTAATGAATACATGGTAAAACCAATCTTCTGAAAAACATTATTTTCCACCTTACTTGCTCATTGTCCTGTTCTTTGGTGCATATTTCAATATGTTTCAGGGACCCACCTGGCTTCGCCATGCTCCTGCGAACAGTGACGGGGTCCTTGCGACGCCACTTGTGCAGCTCCTCCTGCATTTTCTCCACCTTGCCTGGATTGAGTGCCCAAAGGCAGCCTTTACGGGACGAGTTTCCATTTTTGTTCTCCACCTTCACGAAGCACTTGTTCAGGGAGAGGTTGTGACGCACAGAGTTCTTCCACCCATCAGGAGCCGTCTGAAAACAGAGAGGGTTGGATAGCTTGAGAAGATGGGAAAGAAAGGGCAGATGCTTTATCATGACAAGTCAGATCATTTCATGCTACAAGAAGAAATGCAATAAGCACACATGATTATGCCTGCTATGTATGTGTGTCTTGACCACTGGGCTACCAGGACACCTTAAATCATTTTCTATATAAAATGTCAGAAAACCCAGTGATGTGTTTAAATAACTTTTTTTGTCCTTTTTATATACAGTCTATGGTTTTGTCCAAACAATCATATATGACATTCTTTCACATAAGATGAAAAAGAAGTAAACTCTCACATTTGAGAAGTTTGAATCTGTGAATGTTTAGCATTTTTGCTTGAAAATTGATTGAAATAATGAAGTTATTTGATGTTGATCGACTAGATGAACAAACAAATGTTGGTGATTTCCTTTAGAAAGTGAAAAGCTGCAAAAGTAGTGGACAAATCACCCGAAAGACCGACATTAGCATCTACTATACAGCCGGTGTGGCTAAAAATTAACTATTACAGTTTCATGGAAAAATAATTTTTGTTTTAATTTGTTTCACACTTTTAAAATATGAATCATACTTAGATGCCCAATCTTGGAATAAAGTCTGTTACTGTTCAGTAAAGACATCTGCCCTCACCCACTGCCTACAGTAAGTGTTTCACTGAGATCCATATACAGAAACCAGAATACCAGGCCCTCCCTGGAGGGAAGATTAAAATGTGTATACATTTTTCTACCATCTGTAATGTTTGATATCTGCATGCCATAGCAAGTGTCCACTGAACTGAAATTAACTCTAAGATACCTGAAGGTATTTACATATAAAAGTACTTTCCTTCCATTTTCCATCTGCCTCATGTATTTTCTGGCCCTGCAGCCTGTGTTTAATGTGACAGGCAGTTGTTTGAAAAGCATCTTATTGAATATGAATGGCAGCAAGTCTTTGAGTGCTTTCCAGACTTGAGTTTGAACCTATTTGATTTGTGGATACCTGGAATTCTTGTACAGTATTTGCGGTGACCCGAACACAGGCGGAACACTGCTGCTAGCTAATTTATTCAGTATTAAAGTATTCATTCATTTATAACCTGTTTAAAATCTGCCAAGAGCCTTCTCAACAATATTATATGATTATGATATCTCTTCAATCCCTGCAATATCCTCCCAAACTGCCTACACACACACAAATTGCCGATATTAAACAGATTCAAAACATCTGCCCATTTTACTCTCCATGTCAGTCTCATGCTTCAACAGGTTACTACACAGCTGGTCCAGGGTCATATAGCTGCAGGTGTAGCACAAAGCTTTTTTTCGGGACTTAACTGTAATTGCCAAGCCATAAATGTGACTGCCTAAATGCCAACTCAGCACATGTGAAAAACGGAGAAATAAACCAAAACAAATGCTCAAATAAGTGAGCTAATTGGAAAAAAATCTAGGTGGTCAGAGGGGAAAAAAACTAGGTGGTCAGTTTCCATCATTACTCTACTGTTGTCTGCATGAAACTAAAAAGATTGAACTAAACCAGGAGCAGAGGAAACCAGGGCCTTAACATCCTCAGAAACATGCTGTCAATTCTATAACCAGCTAAAGTTGACTTTAAAGATCAAGCTATTTGTGAGAGGTGAAACTAGAGCAGAAAAACTAGAAAAGTTTTTGTGAACTATAGTATTGTAAACATTAAACAATATGAACCCAAAGTTTTATTCAGGGCTGCTTGTGCTAGAAGATGACTCTAAGATTTTTTTTCAGCTGATTAAATTCAGCATGTGTTAGAGAAAACATGAACTGAAATACCTTGAAATAGGGGAAGTGTTCAGTCATGAAGCTGTAGATCTCACTGACTGGCAGGCTTCCCGTTTTACTGTTCTTCAGAGCCATGAAGATCAAGATGCTGCACTCATGAAGGACATTTTTACATTAGCATTTTAATAATATGTTAGGTTTGGCACTAACAAGCCCTTAAATTTAAAGGGGACCTATTATGCTCATTTCCAGCTCTATGTTCTTATTCTGGGATTCCACTAGAGTAACGTTGCATCATTCCACAGTTCTTCTGATTGGCCAACATCTCGGACATTTCCCAGTCCTTCCAGGAATTTACGATCGCAACTATTAAATCCCCATGAATTTAGCACAACTTTGATTTTTTTGATTTTGACCAATCACCACAACTTCCCCAAATTTGACCTATCATTGCAGTTTCCTGCAAAACCTCGTCATATGTCAGCTTGTCATTTCTTTATTTAAAAGATGTAGCAGTGTGATACCAACTTCTCACATTTGCCGAAAAAAAAAAAAAAGGACCGTGATAAACATTATCCGGATCTTCTTTACCAAACCTGGGGTAAACTGTTTTGCAAAACTTGCAGTATTGTGGTCAAACATAAAAGAAAATCATCTATTGACAAAAATTTTGCCACCGCAAAACATAGTGCAGAGTGGCAGAGACGCATGGAAGATGTCAGACTGTTGCATTCTGGTCAATTGCAAGTGCTGAGAGAATCAAGGCAAGCTGGTTTAAATATGCAGGGTTAGGGTTAGGCCTGCAAAATCCTGGAAGGACAGTTTATAAAAATCACATCTACTTATTCCTACAATTTCCTTGCCCCAAAACATCGCAATTTTCATCGCAATTCTTTAGAACAGTTACTGTAAAATCAGGAATTTTAGACCACAACAATCACTAAAAAGGCCCGCGAAATCCTGGAGGGACTGATTTGCTCTTACGTACACTTACATGTAAGCCTAGTACACTGTACACTATGTAATTACTGGCATAGTGCATGAATTTCAACAGTATAGTTTTGTATCAAATAAACACAGTCACTGTGCACTTGACACACACCAGGGTCTGTGTTCAGTCCTGACAGCAGTCAGCTAACTAATGGATCCTCTAGCAGCACAGTTAGCTGAACTAACGGAAGCTACTGTTAGCAGTGGTTGAATACTGTGACAGACTGAGAGGGTGGATGGGCGTGTCCCTGCTGCGCCTGGAGCAGATTGTGAGCTGATGACATCAGCTAGGCAGGAAAGTAGAAAACAAAACATTCGACATTATACTGTATATACGAAAATAAAGTAAAGCATAATAGGTCCCCTTTAAAGTATCCCACCCATATTCACTGGAATTGGCTTTTCTAATTGTGCAATCAGATTAATTTGAAGATATAAATATAAGAATTCTACACATTGTTGCTTTAAATATGATAAAGGTATACAAAAATATAAATGTTGGTAAAAATATGTTGAAATGTGATGTGATGTGTTTACCTGTATGAGTAAATGGGCTTGGGAAAGAGGGGCTGGTTGGTGCTCTCCTGGTGTGATTGAGTGGAGAGAGAATATTTTGGGCTGTTGGACTGGTCATTATTAGGGTACAGTCTAGGTGAGACCTGTAGAGAAATCACACGCAAAAATCATGAATTGAATTGAAAACCAATTACAAAAAACAGATGTGTCATTTCAAAGCCACTATTCATCTGGTTTTCTTTCATTTGCCTTGGCTGAGTCATGTGTAGGCTATTGATCCATAAACCGCTATATGATAAAGCTTTCGCTGACTCGTGTCCTCACCCAGTAGTTTATGGAAATCACAAGCATCCTTTCCTGCCAATGTCAAAATCATATCTATGTCACTGCTTTTAAAACAAATTGGCATTGTGTTGGCTCGTATCAATTACTCACAGTTTTATTAATAATCACATACATCCCATCTTCTCCAGCATTTGTCTATGGTTCAGCCAACATACTGACTCACCTGTTGAAGAGGGCTCGATGAGCTGTAGGGTGGATAGCTTTGAGTCTGGAAGCAGGAGGGCTCTACTGGTACAGCTGGTAGTTCTGGGTACAAACTCTGAAAATATGAGAAAATTCAATTTTGAGATCAAATTGATCTTGTGGCATAATTTGACACCTTTAAAGCTGGAGGCAATAGTAATTAAACATATGATGCTCTCTCTCCGCTGCTTATATCACTCCGCTGGGCCCCGCTCACTAAACCCACAAGCAGGAGCCTGTTGCCCTGCAAAACCCGGTCCCTCTCTACGCAACTCGTCTTCTCAAAGATAAGGTGGCAATGGCGCAGTGAATAAGAAACATGCCTTTGGTGTGGGTTCAATTCACACTGTGACACATCCACCAGTGTGTCCCTGAGCAAGACACTTACTGCTCCAAAGTCGTACGACTAACCAACAACTGCTCCTCAGGAGACCCATCTGTCAAACTCCCGAATTTTGCTGACGACACAACGGTCATTGGCCTCATCTGGGATGGTGACGAGTCGGCCTACAGACAGGAGGTTGATCAGCTGGCTCGCTGGTGCGGTCAGAACAACCTGGAGCTTAACACGCTCAAAACTGTGGAGATGACCATCGACTTCAGAAGGAGCCCCCTCATTCTGCCCCCCATCGCCATACTCAACAGCCCTGTGTCTGCTGTGGAATCCTTCAGGTGCCTGGGATCCACTACATCCCAGGACCTGAAGTGGTCATCAAGAAGGCCCAGCAGAGGATATACTTCCTGCGCCAGCTCAGGAAGCTCAACCTGCATAAGGACCTGCTGATCCACTTTTACACAGCCATCATCCAGTCTGTCCTCTGCACGTCCACTGTGTGGTTTGGATCTGCCACCAAAAAGGACAGGAGCAGACTACAACGGACAGTCAGGACTGCAGAAGAGATTGTCAGTGCCAATATGCCCTCCATTCAGGACTTTTCTAGACCAGGGAACCCCTACTCTTTGTGACAAGTTCCATTGGATCTTTATTGACCACAATGAGTCAGGACCTTGCTATTAAGGTCTTATCAGAAGGATGGCAGCTCCTACAGCACAGTGTCCCCATCACTGCACTGGGATGTTATTATTAGGACAAGAGGGAAGACTGCCTACTACTGGCCCATTTTCCCAGTAAGTCACCCATCCAGGTACTGGCCAGGCCCAAACCTGCCTAGCTTCAGTGAACCAGCAGTAGCAGGGTTTAAATTGGTATATATGTGGTACATACCAAATCCACCTACCTCAAGTACATAACACTTACACATATTCCAGCATCCTTTGCACTATGCTCCATCATACTGTGTACATGAGTACATGTATGCATGTATGTGTATGTGTACCTATCTCATCCACCTTCAATTTGTACATAATAATAATGGTAATAATAATTCACTCTTGCATCCTTTACACTCTGCTCATTGCACTATTGTCTCAATCTGTCTACATTGTTTTTGTTTATAGTGTGTATATATGTGTTCTATACTGTAGCCTGTGTCTGATTTTATTATTGTATTGTTGTATAAGTAAGCACATCGTGAGCATTGTACAATCCAGAGTCAAATTCCTCGTATGTGTACCCATACCTGGCAAATAAAGCTGATTCTGATTCTGATTCTGACTACATCTAATTGACTTATTATATGTAGTGGGTGCACGAGCAGTGACTGACACTGTGTTAGAGAATCCTCCTGGCTCTGATTGGTTGTTTTGTTCAGGGAGCAGTGGATTCTTGCTAATAGCATTAACAGAAGTAGGAGGAGCCAGGGGATTTTGTTTACAAATTATCTGTCTGGTGTACTACTGTCAGGATGTAGTGACAGTTTTAGCAAATATGATAAAAAGTTATTTTTTAAAAGCATTCCCTAATGCAGCTTTAAACTTGCAATAACTGTTTTTTTCCCACTTGGGGGGCAGTGAAAACAAGTTGTGAAGACACTGAAGTTTGATATGGTGAACTAGTTAGCAAACAGTTGCCTATTTACACATCCAGCAGTTTCTGAGCAACATTAGGATTAATTTGGAGTCTGTTTTTGTCCACCTGGTAAATGTTAATCCAACATTCACTCTCTTTCAGCTTTGTTTTTGGGCTCTAGCACCTCCTTGTGGAAATATCTGTTTGGTGCTGGACAGGTAGCGTGCAGTGGGATTTTAGAGCTTTTTCTCTGAAAACAGCTGCCTGCTGTGGCCAAAAACAACGCAGAGAGTGAAAGAAAACATTAAAGTTGTAGCCTGAAAAATAAAATAATGTTAAATAAAATAATGTGCATTTGTAGTCAATTTAATTCTCTTATATTCATAAAGACTGAACACCAATGAATTGCTTCAATGTGTGCAGATGTGTGTGTAGTAGTCCTAACATGTAAGGAAAAGTAAAGCAGTATCAACGTGTTGTTTTGGATTGCATAAAGTCTTAACTGAAATAAAAGGTTAGGATAAAATGAGTGTACCATAAATCTAGAAACCCGAACACTGCCATTGTAGTGGTCCCAGGATGTTGGTGCCTCGCCGCTTGAGCTGTGTGAATGAGTATCAGGGCCACACGCCTCCTGCGGATAGCTGAAGGAAGACGAGCACTGAGGGAGACAACCTGCAGCTGTTACTGCTCCATCGCTGAACTGTCGATGGTAAGGATGGAAACGGTTAGAGTCAACGGCACCTCGTGCTGGTGCTGATCTTGACCCTGAACCAATGGTCCCATCAGCACTGTGCCTCCTGTTTCCAGCTGCAGTCCTCAAGCTGAAGGTGTTGCTCCCTTGCTGGGTGAAGCAGACATCCCCGCCCGCTTTAGTCTGTGGTGTGATCATCATCACAGGGATTACAAATCATTAAAGATGTAATTACAATAATCATAAACCTTTGACAAACCATTCAGGGTTGGGCTCCATATGTATTGTTTCGACTCCCATTGAAGCTGTCAAGATGTCTACTGTGATTCCCCTGGGGCCATTAAAACCCTCTGTCTCATAGTAAATAAATCACAGAGAACTGTCTCAGAGTTTTATATTCACATATGTAAACAGAAAATTAACAAAAATAATTTTTTCTGGGGCAGGAGAACACACTCTTTTTTGTTGTTTTTATTGTGATCTGTGGTACTGATCGGTTAAAGGAGTAGTTCGACATTCTCGAAATATACTCTTTGGCTTCATTGCTGAGAATTAGTCAAACAGTCAGCCGCTGGTTATTCTAGTTTAGCATTAAGAGTGGAAAAAAGGTGAAAATGCAGGTGAAACTGATTTTCTATTTCCAGTGTTTCACAGAAGAAGCTGCCTGAGGCAGCACAGTACCTGTGATTCTGCCATCTGTTGGCAGGAGGTCCCACAAGGCTCACAGGTGTGTAGGCTGGCCTGAGGGGTTGACGTTTGAGACTTGCCGCCGCTGGGATAAAATGGTGGGGAGTCTGACATTATGCACCAAAATTTGCTCCTGTGAAGAGATAAAAAAAAACAGGCTGAATTTGAGATGGGAGAGAAAACAGCATTTTCTGGCTCAATTTTGATTAAACTGAGGCAGATGCTGACATTATTACTGATTAGAAATTTGAGATGGATGACATGTTTCAGCTATTAGAATTTTCATCTGCTTCACTTCAAAATAAAGGTCACACAAAGCTGTTTAAGAAATAGTTTGTTCGCTTTCTAGCTGAGACATAACAGTATAGATACCGCTCTCATATTTGTACTGTAAATATGAAACTATCACCAGCAATTGTTTGGCTTAGCAAAGACTGGAGACAGGGGGTAATTAGTGTTATTGAGCTTTAGAGGCAGAGTTTGATACCATTAAACAGAGCCAGGCTAGCTGTTTCCATCTTTATGCTAAGCTAAGCTACCCAGCTGCTGTTTCCACCTCCTGTGTCTGTAGCTTCTGAACTTCTATCCACCAGGGCCTGCAATGAATTTGCCTCCTTCTTCACAGTCAAAATTCAAACAACAAGACAAGCAATCAGTGCCTCCATGTCAGGTACAGGATATGTGTTGTTGTCCCTGTGTCCACTTAAAAACAATTCATATAGTATGAGACAATTCAATTCTTTCAACCATAACAACCAGGAGGACATAATATAACATCTGAAATCCTCCTCCTGCTGCCTTGATATTCTGCCAACAGGCTTTTTCAAAAATTTCTAACTGCATGGCCTCAGATCTACAACAAATTGTCAACATGTCTCTCCTCTCCGGTTTCTTCCCACAGGCCCTGAAAACTGTAGTCATTAAGCCACTCTTAAAAAAGAGCAATTTAAACACATCACTAATGAGCAATTACAGGCCCATGACAAATCTGCCGGGGTTTTTTGCGTTTTTTCAACAGCTTAGTGCTTTCCTGGCACTAAATAACTGTTTTGATGTCTTCCAGTCAGGATTTTGACCTCACCACAGCACTGAGATGGCTCTTTTTAAGGTCTTCAATGATATCCATTTGAACACTGACAGTGGCAAAATTTCTGTCTTGATATTATTGTATCTCAGTGCTGCTTTCAACACGGTCAACGACAACATATTACTTGACAGACTTGAAAACTGGGTGGGACTTTCTAGCACAGTACTAAACTGGTTTAAATCCTACTTAAAGGACAGGGACTACTTTGTGTCTATAGGTAATCACACATCTGAGCTAACAAAAATGACTGGTGGAGTTCGCCAAGGCTCCATTATGGGGCGTTAAACATCTACATGTTTCCGCTGGCTCAGATTATGAAAAACAACCACATTTGTTACTATAATTATGCTGATGACACACACATTTACATAACCATATCACCAGGGGACTATGATCCCATTCAAGCGCTGAGTAATTGTATTAAACAAATTAACAATTTTCTTCAATTGAATAAAGCTAAAATTGAAGTTATTGTTTTTGGAGCCAGGGAAGAACGATTGAAAGTCAGTGCTCAGCTTCAATCGGTAATGTTAAAAATCACCAACCAAGCCAGCAATCTTGTTGTAGTCATGGACTCAGACCTGAATTTAAGCAGCCACATTAAGGCAATTACAAAGTCAGCCTACTATCACCTGAAGAATATCTCAAGGATTAAAGGACTTATGACTCAGCAGGACTTGGAAAAACTTATCCATACATTTATCTTCAGTCGTCTCGACTTCTGTAACAGTGTCTTTACAAGGCTCCCTAAAAAATCGATCAGACAGCTGCAGCTAATTCAGAACGCAGCTGCTCGAGTCCTCACTAAGACTAAAAAAGTGAATCACATCACTCCAGTTCTGAGGTCTTTACACTGGCTTCCTGTCTGTCAGAGAATTGATTTCAAAGTATTGCTGTTGGTTTATAAAGCACTGAATGGTTTAGGGCCAAAATACATTTCTGATCTTCTGCTTCGTTATGAACCATCTAGACCTCTCAGGTTGCCTGGGACAAGTCTGCTTTCTGTCCCCAGAGTCAAAACTAAACAGTTTTTATGCTCCATATATCTGGAACAAACTCACAGAAAACTGCATGTCTGCAGAAACTCTCTTCTTTTAATGAGACTGAAGACTTTTGTTTTTACCACTGCCTTTAATTAAGTCAAATTTAAAGCTGTGGACTGATAACTTACACTGCACTGTGACTTTAACTGTCCTGTATTCTTTTTCTTTGTTTTTAGATTTTCAGTGAACACTATTTAAAAAGCTGTCAAGATGTCTACTCTGAATTCCCTGAGGCCAAAGAGTACTCTTTTGATTGTATCAGCTCACACGGCTGATCCTCAGTTAACAGCGCCAAGTAGAATTACAAGGGTTAGAGTGCCTTTTTTCTGTTAACTTGTCAACAGGGCCCGCTGTCAACCGCTTTTGCCAGAGCTTGTAGCGTGGACAATCCGTATTTACAGTGATGACTGTATCTAAGGAAGGGTTAAGGTTAGCGTCCCTAGGTGTTAAAGGGTTAGAGTCCCCTTAGGATTAGAATAAAAAATAAATAAATAAACAAAAAGATAGAGTGTGAGATGGGGAATAAAAGGAGTAAAATAAGCAAAGGTGAGAGACTGGCCAGTTTTATTTTTCATTTAACTCTTTAAAACTTTTTTATATTTCCCTGTTGCTTGTATGTTTTATGTAAAGCACTTTGAATTACCTTGTTGTTGAAATTTGCTATACAAATAAACTAGCCTTGCCTTGCCTTGCCATATTTACAGTATAAATATGAGAGTGGTATCAGCAAGAAAACCAAAATGCCAAAATATTCCTTTAAATTATGAAATCAAATAAGAGAGGAAATGCAAGTGGTAAAAAAAATCTAGCTGTTTTTTTATTCTACTTTTGATTTATATTGCTGTCGACACATGACAGGAAGCATATCTTAAGTGTTTTGACAAAGCACTTCTTGTCACTGAACCCTGGAGATCATATCTACTGAGTCATTATTCTACTGTAAATCTGCAAGATACACTATACTGTGTCCTCTGACGGCATGAGTGCAGGCGTGGGAACAGTTGAGTTCATTTATAGTGACAGTTTATTAAAACACCAACGTTTGACATTAGTGGATGTACAAGGGGCAGGGGGTTTATCCGGCTGAGTGTAAAGAAGTGTTACCTGATCTAAGTAGAGGTGAGAGACACGTGGCCCAAGTTCCAGTAAAGGTAACCTCAACTCTGACATAAACCAAGCTCATTAAAACTGCCAACAAACCATGGCTGTTAGGTCACGTAAAGCCAAATACTGCTGAGGCAGAGAGATGGACCTCTGTATGTGTGTGTGTTTGTGAGAGAGAGAAAGAGAGAAGTAGCAATCGTAGCGCTTTCTGTTCAGATCAAAGAAGGCTAAAGTGTCAAGGTGAAAGTTGAGAGATTGCCTTTTCACCACTGTAGCAACAAATCCTCTCATCTGCTTGACGGACACGCTGCCACCAGCCAGAACGGATGCACTTACAGCTAGAGAATAAGACACTTCAGCAGTTGAGATGGTGTGTATGTCTGTGTGAGTGTGTGCGTGTGTTAAGAAAATGAGCAGTAAACAAATCTTTTTGACTGTTTTAGTCTCTGAGATGATCCATCTCACCACAGGTTTAACACGTACTGCGCAGACGTAGTCCCAGTTTGTGTGCCTCTCATGCATTGACACTACATTCGATACACAGAGCTAAGGATCTGAAAAAAAATTACCCGAAGTGCTTTAACAACACTTACATCATTTCTGAAGGTATTTCCAGAATCCTTTAAGACTCTGGAGACCATCTTGATTAAACAGATATTTCACCTGTTTTGCAAGTTGTGCATCTTTATCCTAATCCAAATAAAAATGATAGCCAGAAATTATGTAGTAGCTTCTTGTTCAATTTTTAGGCTACAATGTGAACCAGAGTTTTAAATTTTATGCAGCAATGTATACATAAAGAGCAAGTAGCTACATATGTGATTTCATGATACCTGTATATAAGAAAAACAGTTGTAACTTGAGAAACTGATTAAAATAAGGTATTCATTGTGGAACAGACTGAATATTTTTTAAGAGTCTTTGTGGATTCTGGAAAAACAGAACAGCATAAGTGTTAAACAAACATTTGGGTTTTTCAAATATCTCCGGGTATTTCCACTTCAGAAAATCTGATGCATGTAGCTCAAATGTTAACAGTAATACGTGAGAGGTACAAACTCGGGCCGTTGCAGATGGTGAGTGAGCAAAATAAGAAGTAAATGGTTCTACTGTGAGGATCAGTAAAGTCAGTGTTTGTGCGTTAGGATCAGGAACGGATCTCTTTTTAAAGGATTCTTGACACCAAAGGTTCAAATGAGCTTTGTATTAGTTTGTATCCTTTCATTTCATTGGTTTGTATTGGTTGCCATACTGTAGAGACTACAGTACCTACAATGTGCCTTTGGTTCAGTATGAAAATGCTGCCCTTGATCATGAGTTGAATAAGACATGGCCACTTGACATTTCTCTGTAACAGTGACAATAAAATCTTAGGAGTGGTTCTGTCTGCATCTTCAGCCAAAATGAGATAAGAGATAAGTTATAGAGAAGTGTGCTCTGTGTTTTTATTGCCATAATCATTCCTCCTGTTCATACTAGTCATGATGAAATCACTAATGTGCTTTTTTAACAGAAAATCTACATAAAAAATGTATTCAAAAGTTTATCTAAAGCTAAAATAAGGCTAGCCAATTTATTTCCTGTTAATCAACTAATCATTTCATCTGCACTTATATATACTGTTGGGTAGCTTAATTTAAAATAAACAATCATAATAAACTCTTCATATGTTTTGTGTGCAAACATTTTTAAAGTTAGGGATGCACCAAAATGAAAATTCTTGGCTGAAGCCAAAGCCAAATATAATGAAATATATTGAATAACAAATTCTGAACACCGAACAATAATAATACAATACAATACAGTAAATAGTCAAAATGTGCTTTTTACTCAGTGTTTCCCACAGGATTTGGAGAGACTATGGTGGATGAGTCTGAGGC